ACACACACACACACATTACAAATATATAATTTACAAACATTCTGTGCGTCTCCTGGGGGCTAAGCCCCCCTTGAACTTAAAACCTAGTGACGCCCCTGCACATTATTATATATCACATGTGTATATATATATATATGGTGGTGTTTTTATGGTTTTTGTCTTTCTTTTAGTTATCTTTCTTTATTCTACTGAGCTGTAGTAATGTGCACATTTCCCCACTGTGGGCTCAATAAAGTTTTCTCTTATCTCTTATCATACTGCTCTAACGTGCACGCGCACCTGGTTCCCCAGCACGGCGGTGGCGCACGCCGTGGACACCTCGCGCGGTCCGAACCAGACCGAGGCCACGCGCGACGGCAGGCCGAGGATGAACACCTGCGCCACGGAGCAGACGACCTGCGCGCTCACGGTGACCGCGAAGCGCTCGGGGCTGACGCTCGCGCACTTGATCCACGCGCCGGCGCAGTTGAGGCCGGAGCCCAGCAGGGCCGTGAGCCGCAGACCCCTGCGGTCCAGCAGCCAGGTGGCGGGGAAGATGAGCGGGATGTAGGCCACCATGTAGACGATGGACAGCCAGTCCACCCGGTCGTTGCTCACGCCGTAGTAGCGCSTGAACACGTTCGTGATGATGCTGTAGTGGATCCACTGGAACGCGTTCACCATGGAGTACAGGCTGAACACGACCAGCACCGCGAACCGGCGCCGGTACACCCTGGTCTCGAGCGTCCTCCCGCCCTCCTCTTCCTCCTTRCCCTCCCCGCCTCCTCCTCCTCCTCCTCCGTTCGGCAGCATCGCCTCGCTTTCATCCGGCGGGACCTCCGCCTCCAGCAGCGCCCGGCTCGTGTCCGCCGGTTCCGCCTCGGCGAAGGTCGGGCACAGGTCCGCCGCTGCCCCGTCCGGCTCGGGACGCCTCCTGATGTCYTCAGGTGCGCCGGGATCCGCGCGCAGATGCTCCTGCACGAGCTCTCCCGCGACCATGATGCGTTCTATTGTAGCGCCGCTCCTGACAGAAGGCAGGAAGAGAGACCCGGGAGGAGCTCCTTCATGTGGGCTCCAATAAACCAGCTTCACCGGACCCGGACCCGTTCTTTATACCCGCGTCCAGTTAATAAAAGAGAGAACGGCTCCAGACAATAAAGTCCTCAGAGTGATGAGTCTGGTTCCGCCCGGTGCCCTGAACATGAGCAGCTGTCTGCCGCGAGAACTTCCGATGCTGCTGAGCCAATAGAAGAAGAGCAGCCTGGTTTTAACAGCGAGCCCATTACCGGCTCATGACTCATCGAGTTAAAGAATCGAATCCTCACATYGAATCAGAACTAACGAGTCCGACATTCAAACTAACCCGGATCCTACGAGTCCTCTTTGAAACTGCCACTAATTAACCAGGGATGTCAAGTAACTAAGTACAAATGCTTTACTTTACTTAAATAGTAATTTTGGTTATTTATACTTTAGTGGAGTAATTATTTTTCAGCCTACTTTTTTAC